GGGAGGACAACTTCGAGGGAGTGCCCTCCACCTATTTGTGGCGTGAGTCAATCGCGTGTCACTGCGGTGGACAAGTGACGCACAGCAAAGACAGATCTCTCTCTCACACACACACACGCACAGGTGAGTGTTGGCAGTGCCTAAGAGTAATCCACAGGATTTTACCCAACATTTCATCATCACTTATTCCATATTCCCCTGGCACTCGAAACCGCTGATCCGCCAAAGCAATCTTCGAAGAGTTTACACAGAGGGCGTATTTTTAGAGGGGGAAAAAAAACTCTATCCGTTACTGTACTGAGAATGTTAGCAGAATTGTGATATTTTAAGAACGTATTTGTTCCAGGTTGTCATAACAGTCAGTGAGGCCAATGAAGAATGTGTTTAATCAGTGTGTACTACCTGCTGGATGATATAAGGCTCAGAAAATGATGATGATCGTATTGTATTAATTAACCAAAAGTGTTTCTGGCTGGAAAGATGGACGGACAGTCACGTCCAGAGGACGTGCGCATTTTGCTAGTTCATGACAAAAGGAATTTTTAAAATGCAAAATGCACGACACATTGTGGAGAGAAACATGCGCGGAAATGATATTGAGAGCCAGAAAGAGGAACACGTGCATTCGAAAGCACACGCAGGTTAATGACATTCAAACTTTTAAATGAAAATAAGTGGCTTGGGCAGGACACGGTGCTTTGAAGGGATGACGCCAGATGGTCGACAATAAAGATTCCTGAGAAGTACGTCCACCGAGGAGACTTGAGTTTCAATATCAGCTCATGTGCCCAGTGTTATAGGCGATCCTGGCTTGGATGCATTCATCCAGCAGTGGGTCGACCAAGGCTCATGATAATTGCGACGATGATGCCACTCTGGGTACGTGTCTGCTTGCCATGCGTGTGCGGCTTGTCATCCCGCAGTAAACATCGCACTTGCAAATTCAGCAAGTCTTCCTCCCCGCTGTGCAGACGCACAGGAGGAGAGTGGGTGTCGCTGTTGCGGATTAATCGGATAAAACCTCCGAGGATAGAGGGAAGCAACACAGCGAAAGGATTTGGTCGTCAATATCGCGCAGATTTTCCAAAGCTTACATCAGGGCTAAATCCACGCCGCCCTTCTATCCAACACATTAGCGATTTGCACTATCACTCCCGGCACGAAAGACACACGGGAACGTAGAAAACGTGCTGCCTGCCACTTGTCAAATGTAAACAATGGACTGTACTGTGGTGGTGAAATAGATGGGAAGCTATGGCAGTGGGCTCAGTGGTGTGTGCACTGCACTACGAACCCAGTACCGTATGAGTTGGATTCCCACAGCCACAACCACCACACTAACGATCATGGTGAAGTATGATCAAATGACCAATACAGCGTGTAAGGGAGGCCTTGATCCAGCACTGGATTGACAAAGGGCTGTGCATTATTTATTGGGAGTGTGTTGCGTGGTAAGCTTCAATGGGTCAAAGTAAAAATGCACACTGTGACACCAGAGTTTTATTTTTGTAGCTCACCCTTTGCAATATATTTGAGTAAATTGTTTATCTTTGTAGTCTTGTGAATACTCCCTTAAAAAGTGATGGATTTTACACACACAATCAGGTTGCAGGAAAGAAGAGAGCAGCCATGATAGAAATCAGCCATTTGTCATGAAAGTGGGTCAATGCATCACTCCGATAACAAGAAATGCCAATAAGACACGCGCTGCTTTTTTAAAAAAACACGCAACGAGTGTGCGGATACCCTCTGGAGCATCGGGGCTCACGTTGAGACGAGTGGCAATGTCTTTGTGTGCGGGGTTTCTGCGCGTTAAAAATCCAGCGCCATGGCAATGTGCTGTGAGAACGCTCCATCTGTTAATAGCTGCGTCCATGTCGTTGATGAAATCTGAAGATTTCCTGTTTTCACTAAATAACCACATTATCCGTTCCCCCAAATGCCTTCCGAGGGCGGTACGCTAATAGCTGGACTGTAGGGAACCCCTCAAAATAAAGACTATGGGTTAAGATTTTTGCTTTGAGTTTTTTGTTACTCATAAAGTTATATTTATTTAAGTTACAAAGGTTTGGAACATTTGGATAATTACATTAAAAAAAAACATGTACCCAGGAATTTAAGCTTCACTGAATCGAATGCCATCGTTTTGGAAGGCTCCTGCACTGGGCTCTTTGTCGAATTCCATGAATGAGTACTCGGCTAACGTGGGAGGAAGCCTGGAGAAAATCCACCACGATAGTGTATCCACTCAGCACCGTCACCATGCCCTGGCCCACACCTCGCCGGCCCTGCCTGCAACACCTGGCACGCCCTGGCAGCGGTGCCTCCAATTACCAACCCAAAACAAGTAAACCCGTAAAAACAAAGTTTTTCACTCTAAATCCTTTATATGCGTGGCGGATAGAGTTCTCTCGTCCTCTGGCTTGAGATGGCTGCAATCTATGGGTCAGATGATTGTCTGCCAGTATTAAGCAATTGGTAATTAAATATTTAATTTGTTTTCCCTAAACAGTGTAAAATTTTGGAAAAAAATTCACGAAAATTAATTGTCACACACAACGAGTCTGTGTGGAAAATGTCAGCTCGATTGGATCACGGGAAGTGGGTTAAAAAACGAGCGAAAGATTTGCACGGTCCTAAGCAAGCAAGCGAACTTAATATAAAGGATTTAAAAATATATTCGCCTGTGGAGGACGCGGGGATCGATCCCGCGACCTTTGGCATGGGAAGCAAGGGCGCTACCAACTGCGCTACTCCGCCACGGCCTGTGGAGTGGTTACGCTCTGGGCGCTTACACTCTGACGTTCAGCCAAAGCCATGAATGCGTTCTATTTGAATATATGTAAAATAAAAATTTTTTGCCTAAAAAGTGTAACATTTTGGGAATTTTTTTTCACGAACAATAATTGTCTGGCACAACGAGTCTGTGTGGAAAATGTCAGCTCGATTGGATCACGGGAAGTGGGTTAAAAAACGACCGAAAGATTTGCACGGTCCTAAGCAAGCAAGCAAACACGTGAACTTAATATAAAGGATTTAAAAAAAACACTCAACACATTCGTCAATAACACTGTGGGCCTTAAAAGAAAATAAATATATATAGGCGACGTTTCGGGCAATGGTGCTTATTCTTAGAGCAAATACTAGCAAGACTCAACCGAGGCCACGTGGCCTAATCCAAAAATAAATAAGAATATTTGTATTGGGTACAATAACCTACGTTTTAAGTTAACAGGCTCAACATACTAAACTCGTGAGATTTGAGATTGGTGACTTTGTCATACGCTATACCTTAACGAATAAACACATATCCTCCTCCAGATCAAATATTTACACTGCTTGAATGCATTAAAAAAATACCGTACAGTACAATGATTGAGACTGACGTGGTATGGGGAGGCCTTTACCCAGTCAGCAGTGGATTGATAAATCTTAAAGTCTTAAAGTCACTTTATTGTCAAGTGTGTTACATGCATGACATACAACACAGATGAAATTGCAGTCCTCTCTCTTGGTCCCACGGTGCAACCAAGCAATTAAAAAATGAATCACAATTAACAGACATAAATAAACAATAAACAATCGGCGATCAACACAAGATAAATAATCTAAAATGTAATAAACTTAAAATAAACAGTCAAGAATTTTTAAAATGTAAAATATTATTTAAATAAAGTATTTAAAGAAATAAGATATTTAAACCAGTGTGGTAGTGCGATGTAGTGCAATGTGCAGTCCAGAGATCAGGATGTGCGAGTGAATGTGTGAATGACAGAATAAAGTGAATAGATTTTGAAATACGAACTTTTATTTTCTATTCGTACAACTGGCTAATATCATATATTTTTATTTTGAAACCCGGTGTATTCAGGACAACGATTGGACATTGCTCCTTGAGGGAGGAAGCGATGACTCAATGATTAGTTGGTCTGTCAGGGGTAACACTCGACTCATCAGTACATCTCTTTTAAACATGAGCCATTCTATTGAGAGCTGTATCAGGCGTTAACACTCGATTACTCTCATAATACATCTGTTGACTGACACGACTCCGTCATAGATTGTGTCAGGAGCTGGCAGAGATTAACAAATCGATTAACTACATTTCTCTCAATCAACACTTGCTTGAAATCACCGAATTAATCACAACACGGCTCCTCACTCATCGATTACAACTCATTTGCTTAGCACTGTCAAGGGGAGAACACTCGATTATTATACTTCATTAAAATTACGTACATACGATTAATCGATAACAGCTCCATTAATATATATCGCCAATGCAACTGACTGATCAGGTCCTCGTGTGACAAATTAATCGAATTGTTATCGATTACTGAAATCTCGTGAATTAATCGAGCTCATAACTCGACTAAACGAACTATAACCCAGCTAATAACGCGACTAATCGAGCTAATACATTCTAATAATCGAGATATTATCACGCTAATAACGCAACAACTCGAGTCTTCACAAAGTTAATAACTCGACTAATCGAGCTCCAATCGAATCGTAAATCACAACGCGCGCCTCTGCGCGCATGCGCATTGGCCGCCGCTCGAGACGTCAGCGGGGCGGGGCCATCACAAAGGGCGTGAGGGGGAGGGGCTCAGTGAGGTGGGGGTGGGGTGAGAGGCGTGGGGTGGGGCTCAGTGAGGGTGGGGTGAGAGGCGTGGGGCGGGGCTTAGCGAGGTGGGGGTGGGGGGGTAAGAGGCATGAGGGGGAGGGGCGGGGCGGTGTTTTTAGATTGCCCACAACAGGCGCGCGCCAGCCCACCCCCCTGGAGTCCCCCTTCGCGCCTCCCCATTGGCCCGTGGGCGTGGCTAGACGCGAAACCACGCCCCGGGGCGCCCTAGCGCCCTGCTCGCGATTGGCCTGAAGGCGCCGGGGGAGTGGGGCGGGGGTCACGCGAGGACCAATCGCGAGGCGCGACACGGGCGGAGGGGGCGGGTCGCGCGGACGGGTGGGGAATGTGAAGCCGCCTCCCTCTAGCGGCCATTTTAGCACCGCCCGGTTCGCGGCGGTGGAAGCAGCGGAGCCGCCCGTCGTTCTCCGTCTGTCGCCTGCCCCTCTCGCTCCCTCCCCGTGTCTCACGCTTCGGCCTCCTCGTTAGTCGTGTTTTGCTGCTGCTGCTGCTGCCGTCGTCGTCGTTCGCAGCATTTCCCCTCTCTCCGTCGCCGTCAATTCCCCGCGTTCGTCGCGAGGCAGTTCATTTTGCCGCCCCCTTCCCCCCTCCTCCTCCTCCCAGCAGGCGTCGGCGGTCGCAAGGTTGGGGCCGCATTCACCCCCCCCATGGGATAGGTGAGAGAGCGGGCATCGTCGTCTGGTGTCACTCCTCGCGGTGGTGTTTACCAAGCGTGGGTTCTGTGTTGGGTTCGATCCGTTTGGGTGTACTTGTTGTTGGCTTGGTGAGGAGGGGCTGTGATTTTGGTCGGAGAGACCGCTCCCTGACACGGGCCAGACAACTACCGTGGCTTGATTTGCATCGGCCCTCGTTTTCATTTGGACAGTGTCTCCAAAGCCTGGCGGCGTGGGGGAACGTCGTAGTCGTCGTCTGGCTGACGCCACCGTTGTTACCATTGCTGATGTCTCTTCATCACCATTGCTGTAGTCTCTTCATCACCATTGCTGGTGTCTCTTCATCACCATTGCTGTAGTCTCTTCATCACCATTGCTGTAGTCTCTTCATCACCATTGCTGGTGTCTCTTCATCACCATTGCTGGTGTCTCTTCATCACCATTGCTGTAGTCTCTTCATCACCATTGCTGTAGTCTCTTCATTACCATTGCTGGTGTCTCTTCATCACCATTGCTGGTGTCTCTTCATTACCATGGCTGTAGTCTCTTCATCACCATTGCTGGTGTCTCTTCATCACCATTGCTGGTGTCTCTTCATTACCATTGCTGTAGTCTCTTCATCACCATTGCTGGTGTCTCTTCATCACCATTGCTGGTGTCTCTTCATCACCATTGCTGTAGTCTCTTCATCACCATTGCTGTAGTCTCTTCATCACCATTGCTGTAGTCTCTTCATTACCATTGCTGGTGTCTCTTCATCACCATTGCTGTAGTCTCTTCATTACCATTGCTGGTGTCTCTTCATCACCATTGCTGGTGTCTCTTCATCACCATTGCTGTAGTCTCTTCATCACCATTGCTGTAGTCTCTTCATTACCATTGCTGGTGTCTCTTCATCACCATTGCTGGTGTCTCTTCATTACCATGGCTGTAGTCTCTTCATCACCATTGCTGGTGTCTCTTCATCACCATTGCTGGTGTCTCTTCATTACCATTGCTGTAGTCTCTTCATCACCATTGCTGGTGTCTCTTCATCACCATTGCTGGTGTCTCTTCATCACCATTGCTGTAGTCTCTTCATCACCATTGCTGTAGTCTCTTCATCACCATTGCTGTAGTCTCTTCATTACCATTGCTGGTGTCTCTTCATCACCATTGCTGTAGTCTCTTCATTACCATTGCTGGTGTCTCTTCATCACCATTGCTGGTGTCTCTTCATCACCATTGCTGGTGTCTCTTCATCACCATTGCTGGTGTCTCTTCATCACCATTGCTGGTGTCTCTTCATCACCATTGCTGGTGTCTCTTCATCACCATTGCTGGTGTCTCTTCATCACCATTGCTGATGTCTCTTCATCACCATTGCTGGTGTCTCTTCATCACCATTGCTGGTGTCTCTTCATCACCATTGCTGGTGTCTCTTCATCACCATTGCTGGTGTCTCTTCATCACCATTGCTGGTGTCTCTTCATCACCATTGCTGTAGTCTCTTCATTACCATTGCTGGTGTCTCTTCATCACCATTGCTGATGTCTCTTCATCACCATTGCTGGTGTCTCTTCATCACCATTGCTGGTGTCTCTTCATCACCCCCCCCCCCCCCCCCGCTGTTGTGTTGCGACCGGACGTGGTCGCATGTAAACTGCGTGTACAGTACAGTATACAGTACAGTATACAGTACAGTATACAGTACATCCTAATTGTTGCGGCTCGTTGCAAGTTTCTGCTGCTGCTTCTGTCGTTGTCTGCGGCTGTTGGATCAGCGGCCACCGCTGCTGCTTCAGCAGTTGCTGCTGTTGTTGATGTGAATACTGCCTTGTGCTGTTGCTGTTGTTGCTGTGAATACTGCCTTGTGCTGTTGCTGCTGCTGTTGTTGCTATGAATACTGCCTTGTGCTGTTGCTGTTGTTGCTGTGAATACTGCATTGTGCTGTTGCTGCTGCTGTTGTTGCTATGAATACTGCCTTGTGCTGTTGCTGCTGCTGCTGTTGTTGATGTGAATACTGCCTTGTGCTGTTGCTGCTGCTGTTGCTATGAATACTGCCTTGTGCTGTTGCTGTTGTTGCTGTGAATACTGCCTTGTGCTGTTGCTGCTGCTGTTGTTGCTGTGAATACTGCCTTTTGCTGCTGCTGTTGTTACTGTGAATACTGCCTTGTGCTGTTGCTGCTGCTGCTGTTGTTGCTGTGAATACTGCCTTGTGCTGTTGCTGTTGTTGCTGTGAATACTGCCTTGTGCTGTTGCTGCTGCTGTTGTTGCTGTGAATACTGCCTTGTGCTGTTGCTGCTGCTGTTGTTGCTGTGAATACTGCCTTGTGCTGTTGCTGATGCTGTGGCTATGACCGGTATCGTGCTGCTGTTACAGCTGCTGTTGCTGCTGTTACTGTTGCTGCTGTTGCTGCTGTTACAGCTGCTGTTACAGCTGCTGTTGCTGCCATTACGATGCTGTTGCTACTCTTATAGTTGCCGTGTATCTTGCTGTTGCTGCTGATGCATCTCTAAGAGCTGTTGCTACGCCTTGCTGCTGTGCCACTACCCATTATTACTGCTTGTGTCGCCGTTGATGCGAATGTTGAAGCTGCCTTTGTTTATGTTGCTGCTAATGGACCTTATTCTGTAGCTGTTGCATCTTTTGCTGCTGTACTAGCGTCTGTTTGGCTGCTTTGCGTTGTAGCCTCCTGTTGAGTCTGCTGCAATTGTTGTTGTTGTTGTGCTGCTATTGCTTTAGCTGTAGTTTTAGATGCCCTGCTTTGGCTGTCAATTGTTGCTGTCGAACCGAAAGGCATCCCCATGAGGCTTATTTGAAACCCATTGAAGTGCACTAGTTGCTTTTCTCGTCTCGAGGTCACTTCGCTTGTGTGACGGCGGTGTGTCTGCAGTGCTTGGCACTCCACTGGCTCATCCGTCAACCAGACAGTTAATGTGGCTTACAGTGGACAATGACTCGAATTCCAGGAATCGTAATGAACTAATGACAATGGTTAGCGTTGTACCCATACAGCCGGGTTAACGGGCTGCATTGTTAAGTTGTGGTAATAGCCTCAAATCGGTTAATAGTTGGAACTTTACACGCGGGTGTAATGAACGTTGAACTTCTTTCGCACCCTACGTAGCCAAACGTGCCAATCGGAGGTGTAATGTATGTATTGGTCAAAGCATTTTGCCTATAGGCAGCTCACGTTGAATTTGCCCAATCTCCGTCAGATTTCGGAAGTTAAGCGGGATTTGAGCCCAGAGGGCGCGCCCGGGTGGCTAACCATGATGCAGCACACACACACAAGTTGGCCTCGGGCTGGAGTGGCTACGTCGTTGGTCTGTTGAGGGTAGTTCATCCAAAATCCATTGTTGTACAACCCGTTGTGTGCAACCCACACTGAACCAGGGTGGTGTGAAGTTTTTGGCGATAAAGTTCACGGCCGGGGATGCGTTCCTGAAATTCGCGGCGACGAATATCGGAACGACGTAAATAAAAAGAAACGAATGACCGGGCAGGATACTAGATGATGCCGTAAGCGACGCAAGTGTGGGGTTGAGGCGACGCAAATGTGATAGCGGTGTTCATCAAGTGACGTAGTTGTGAAACGACGTAAATCGGGGTATTACTGTACTAGGTAACCCTCGTGCACCGTGGAGGCTTGGGCAGGCCCTTATTTAGCAATGCATTGCCAAAAGGGGGCTTGCGCCTGTTAACACGCGTTTGTGACTTAACCACTGGTGTGGGTGCTGATTGTCCGCTGTGTGGCCAGTGACCACCCCGATCTGGGTGACTTCGAGACCCGACATCTTTGGAAAACTTGCAGGAGGAGGGAACATTTTTGGTAATTGTAGAGTTCCGTGTTTGTGTCCATGCTGACTGCAATGTAAACATCTGCGGTAGAGCAAGAATCGGGGACAGTGGATTTCGCTAGAGAAGAGTCACGATAAGAGAAGTGCAAGGAGGAAAAATCCGATTAGTTGACCCCATACAACATGGAACTATTGGCTTCGAGTTTGGAAATCTCTACTCTGGCAGAGAACAAAGACCAACCAGTGTGGTGAAGTATGGTCTAATAGCCCCAATGACCAGCACAGCTTGCCTTCATCTAGCAGTACATTCGTATGAATATTAATGTAATGCTTTTAAGTGGACCAAGTGATTGGCTTTGGAAGCAGGAAGATAGCTTGTAACATAAATTGTGCTTTTTAATCTGATCCTAAGTATGGTGCAGTGCTTGCTTTGCGGGGGATGTTTGTAAAATAAATGTAAACTTAATTACGTAGACATGGTAATATGTTGTGTGTCCAGTGCTCGGGCACTTGGGAATTAATGTCATAAGCAGTGACAAAGTGCCATCAGATGTTGAACATGTAGTAACCACCACCATACGGTATGCATACAATTTGTACAAGTTTTTACATGATGTGTCTTAAGCACAGATTTAGCAATGTACAATGAAACTCATTGAAGACAGGAGTTGGCTTCGCTGGTCATCTGTTTGATTTATATTCACATCACACATAGCTTGCACCATATTTTTATGCTGTTGACGGTGCATTTGTGTACCTTCTCATGTCACGTGCCTTAACATAATACAACTTATGTGTGGGAGTCATCGGCTATTCTCTTAAGTGGCCCTGGGTGGCAGTGCCTTTAGGCCTGTGCACCTATTCCTGTTTTTGAGGACTCTAAATTACATTTAATTAAAATTGTGTGAACATTGCATGATGATATTTGAGTTGACTCATGTTGACACCAGGTATGTATGTTCACGTATAGATGCGTAACAACGTAAATGTGTGCATTAGAAATGGGAAAGAGGACTACTTACTATATTACTCTAATTTATAACAAATGTGACTTTGCGGAGTTGCGCACCTCCGATTAGCATGGTTGGCTACATACGGTGTGAAGGATAAGTTCTACATTCATGCATACAAATGTATTGGTGCACCCGAAGGAATTGACAAGAAAGGAAAATCCAAGAAATGTCCGCCTTGGGTCATCTCCCTGGCCACCCATAATAAAAA